AGGCACAACGAATGGTTCCTGGTATAATGTTCCCACTGCCTTTGTGGGCGACCAGGCGGCCTAGTCACCTACAGGGTACCTGTTCGACCATCTTCCGTTGGTGAGCCGAGCTGTGTGCCCGGCTCTCCGCGACTTCTCCTTTCTGCTTTCGACGACCGTACCACTACGGCCTTCCGTTATTTGATAACCGTTTTTGGGATATGATTGCGATGTGAGATTCCTAATATTCTTTCCATGCCTCTCTCAGTGACAGATGGCAGATGCTCTTTAATTTTAGTGAGTAATCGTGTGTTACCATATAACATCGCCGGCAGGACGGTAGAATTGGGGTTGGGCGTGGGATTCTCTTTTGATTTTGCTGAGGAGGAAATCCTTTATGGAATGGAACATGTGCCGTCAGGTTTTCCTTCTACCTCGTCTATTGATGCCACATGCTAATCTCTGCGTGACTCTGGTAAATGTATTTATCGACTTCAATCTTTTGACCGTTTAATATTATCTGCACCGTCCGCAGGGCATTTGATCTGAGAGTGTTCGTCTTTGACCGATTGATTCGTAGTCAAACCTCTGCACTGCTTCTCACGAGCTCTTGCAGCATGTCTTGTATTATTACGGCCACTACAGTATTTAACTGTTGTATTTACTACTAATCTGCAACTTGTTTAGAAATGTATGCGAAGCGCCACAACTTGGAAAAATTTCCTGAACGTTTTGCACATCGGCACAGCTTGACTGACGATGTCTTCAAAAAACAGTGGTTTGTAGATTTGGTGCCGCAACACGGAAACGGATTCGACGAGGCTCCCAGTCGAGCAGCGTCTTCTGCTACTAACTCGTTCACCGCTGTCAACGTGCAAAAGGCATTGGCCGCATACGGCGACACGCTGCAGTTCAGTACGTGGTCTACCTGCGACGAAAGTAGCATTGTGCCACGGAACATTTCTGAGCCAAGCACCGCGAACGAGATGCTATCGACTGCTTCGGCGGCTGTTCATCAAAAATCCGGTAGGAAACGTTTCATACGAAACCATGATGTTAATAGAAATGAAGATACTTATAAAGCAAACGTATCAGTTTTTATTTGCAATTGTTTTATTTATCAATTTATTTGTTATTTACTTCGTTTGGATCAGATGATTCAGTACACCTTGAAGAGATGTCAGTTTGAAAGAGCATACTGATGATTGTGATCAGTTTTGTTTGAAGCGCTGGTACATTCAAGACATTCAAGATGACATTTTGACCAAGTATTTCCACCTTATCGATTTATTCCCTGTGGAACAGCGTAAATTATTACCGCAAATCCTGCGCTTATACGAGATGTCCTTTAGGATGTGTTTCTTAGAGTTGTTCGGAAGTGCTACTTGGTCTTGTAGTATTTCTGCAAAGTTTTCCATTTCCAAACATAGTTCTCATTGTCAAAACCAATAGAACAATTTTTCCTGGTTGATTCGAACAGATGTTACCGCAACCTAGTGACACGCATGAAGAGCTTTCTTTCTCCTTTCATCAAGTCTGAATATTATATATCTTTCTATCTTTTCTAACTCGGGATCTCTTTTACACAGCTTTAGGGGCTTACATTTTTTGTATACTGTGAATACGGATCAATGTAAAGGTAAAAAAATCGTCAGAAAGCTTATTCAAAGAGTGTCCTTAATAGATATAACTTGCCTACAGATGATCTTACATGCTACTTGCATGAAATCCGTCAATGTAGTTCTGAGCTTTTAATCAAGATCATCTAGAGGTGTCTAGCACCATTTTAGGATTGCGGATGTGTACTCAATCTCTGACATAGCCCAGCTGTGGACAGTTCTGATATTATTTGTAGGAGAAAGATGGCTGTGTTTTCTTAGCCAGCATGAGGCACATCACATTTTCTTTCACTTAGATTCAATACAGTAAAGTTCCTGCAATCCCATAGATATTTATAACTTGTTGAAATTTGGCTTAGTTCATGAATTTCTCTCTTGTTCTCGAGATACAGGCTTTCTGATTATATAGTATAGAGCGAATTCCATTCTGATTGATCTGGTAAAATTAGATGCCAGCTCGAATATACATTTCAGTTGTTTTCCTTTCCTGGCATGCAGTTTCAGAACATCCATGTAGATGAGGTTGGAGAGCTTTGTATTATTCCTCTTCTAGATAACACTCTCGTATCCTAATTTGTTTAATGGCATACTAAACGGATGTGATGATTAACTGAACCAGAGAGGACTGAGGCTGTCTCTTTAAAAAATGCCTATGCTGATCTGGATCGTTTCGGTTTGATGCTGATATGCACCTCTTACAAGACACATCGCGGTCGTCACGTTGAAGTTGAAGCTTTCACCAGGGCAACAATATTGCCATGCGTCTTGTACAGTCGCAACACTTTCAGCAATCATGATTGACGTACGGAGTCATACTCTCTTATAATTCACTTATCCAAGTGAGATGTTACGTCTAGCATGCCGGACTTGGTTGGTAACAACTGAATCAATTATGAACAGCTTTTACTACCATGGCTTCTTTGCTCTTCTGTAGCTATTTGCTCTTTTGGTAAGGTCGTAATTGCTTAAGCATGCGATCCGATCTTCATCGCTAGTAAAGATATCAAGAACTTGTACGTATATTTTTGGCCGAAAGCTCTTATGTTTGGTTGCATCCATATCCTTAGTAAGGTATGCGGTACTTCTTCAGTTATGAAGTTTGATATAAAGCTTGGCTCCTGTAATATTGAATAAAACTGCGATGCCTGTACTTATGGGTGTATGGAAAGTATTTCCGCTAAAAATTTAGACGCTATTGAGTCCCGATGATTACCCGTTGAATATCTGTCTAGAACGCCTAAATACACTCAACATTACTGTAAATTCTGCTGAATAATATAGTAGTTAATTAATGACTAAATACACATTTAAATCATATTTAAGTGTAATAATCTAGTTGTTATTCATGTTACTGTTAGTCGGCTATTTGTGATTTTCAGGCAGCGCAGCAGCAGATTCAAAGTCTACCACCGCGTTCAAAGTTTTCGACGAGTTCAGTGATAGCAAGGGCGATGAACTGACCTCTAACTGCGTGCCAGAAACTTCAGATGGTAAGCGCCTCCTTTGTCAAACCGTTAAGTGGACGATGGCTATTTTTAGCAATAGCTCGGTACCAGCACGACGAATCACAAAAATCCGAAAAACCGTTAATAAACACCGAAAGTGCTTCGACTGCTGTAGAAGCAGATTTTGTAAAAACCGCGGTGGTCACGCATAAGAAGCAGCTCATGTCAACGATGAACAGCCATCGCGTTGCTGCCACCATTGCTCGGCTTGACTCGGAAGTAGTGGTGACTTCTTCTCAAGATGCAGTCGCTGCGTTTTCTACCAGTGACCTTGAGCCTTTACCGACGGTAAGGATGAAAACACCCGTTACACTACTTGACGCCAGTCCTTGCGCTAGTGGGACAGATATGGCTCCTCTACGGTATAGACTGCACCGTAAACGTATAACATAATAACGTATGTTTACGCTGGTTTGTTTAGTATGAAATTTGATGAAGACGATGCTGGGGTCGAAGAACAGCTGAGAAAATCTCCGTTATTCCTTGAATCATTGAGTATTGTTATGTGCTGGTTAGTAGTATTTAGCTGACTGATGTTTTTAGATTCAGTGAAAGACGAGATGCGGGATTTGGACCTGACCACCAGCGGTGACCTGGAACATATTAATAGTGCGATAAACCCATGGGATCCTGAACTGGTATTGAAACTTTATGGTGAGGTCAGGGAACTGCAGCGCGACAATGATCACCTTTTCGAATCGTCTTCTCTGCTTCCATGCATGCAGATCAACAGGTGCGTAACGCTATGCGGAAAAACATACATTTGTGAAAAACTGTTGGCTGAAGGAAGATTGGAAAATATTTACATGTCCACCGTCCGGGGAACATATGAAAAGGTGGTACTCAAAGTTAAAAGGTCCCCCTGTCCATGGGAACACTACATATCTGAAACGATTTTACATAGAATCAAGACGAAGAACTTGAGTCTCGTTGAGAACGGTTTTGCTTGGATTAAGGAGGCGTATGTCTTTTCTGATGGCTTTGTGCTGGCCCTTGAATTTTTTAAACACCACACGCTAACCAACTTGGTAAATCGATATCGTAACGCTGGCCAATCTATGAAAGAGCCGATGGTCGCCTTTCTGACGTTGGAGATGATGAAGCTTTTAAACGCCTTACGATCCGTCGACATCATCCACGCTGGCATTAAGCCCGATAGCTTTGTGCTTGTTCATCCGCACTCTACGTTTCTTCAGCAAAAGGATGCCGAATATGTGGATTTTATGAGCCTACCGGTTAGCTGTCTCAGACTGATGGACTTTAGCCGATCGATCGACATGTCTCTACTTCCCACCGGATCTACATTCGCCGGCAGAACGCATACATCGAGTTTTGTTTGCTGTGAAATGCTGGATGGTAGGCCATGGACGTATCAAGTAAGGAGACCTGATGTAATTATTAATGTGCTAGTTATCTGTGGTCACGATTGCCCGGTTAAGTCCAGTGTCTAGTTTCAACATCGATGATGATCGGTCTAAAGCTACGATAGCTCAAGACCGAATATGAGCCAATAATTTTTATTTTTTAAACTAGTATTAAGTTAGTCTGTTTAATTAGCTATCATTAATATTTTTCAAGGGATCGTGGTTCACGTCCTTCTGGCTCATAAGGAAAAAGCTGAGCAGTTTCTTTAAAGAAAGCGGAATACTTTTCTCCACCTTCAATTCTTCGCGAATTGCAGCGGTTGTTGAGCTTTTGAACAGGGACTATTACAGACGCTGTCACGTCGAGCGAGTTTGGAGCAGGCTCGGTGTTAAGAACAGAAATAGGCTTGCATCTTCACAAGTGCTGCAGACCTTAGCATCTAGTACAGCTGCCAAAGAGGGTAATCTGCCGAAAGCAGACACCTACAAATGCACTGCTTGAGCACAATGAAAACATGTTTAATTTTTAAAATATATTTCTGCCTACTATATATGCTGATTCATTACGGTCTACACAAATGCAACAACTGACTGAACTTTCTTCGTAATTAACGGGAATTATCAGTACTTAGTCTCGCTGCCCACGTTCTTCTGTATTCTGTGATATGTCGCCAGAAGTTTTCATATCTTCCTTGTAGCGTATGGTCCCATATGAGCCAAAATGATTCAGTTGGACGCTTATAGCCCCTTGGATACAGATTCGTGACTAATATAGTTCATAGGTGAACCGTCAGTCGTGCGATTTAGACATCCGTAGTCTGACTCGAGCTACACGCCACGGACTAGGTGCAATGTTAGTTTGTGATTTCTGTTGCTTTCCATCTTGGCAAATGTTGTTAGCTAATGTCCACCCTTGCTAGGCGTCTTGGATGGAATGTGTGTTTGCCCTTCACCACGGCTGAAATGGTTTCTAGGTTACGACACTATGAAGCTTCGTCCGATCAGAATTCTCATTGCTGGGCTCAGGTACAGCCACCTCTTCTCCGGTTGTTTCTCATCTGAACAACGGAGCGGTGCCACATTTTACAGAGATGCAAAAAATGCAGTTAACGGATATGTAGAATTAATGAGTCCGTATAGATAAATGTAGGTAACGCAGTTAGGTCAAACGTTTTACGTTTGTGGGAGCTTACGCATAGACTTAGACATCACACTTGTATGCCTTATATATAGTTATATGCTCACCGTAAATATAACGTAGTACGTTAGGGTATGTGAAATCCCATTTCGGAGGACTTGTACGTTTATTAATACATTTCAGCATATGAAACCATATTTAAATATTATACGTATGTAAATAGCCTACTTATTACGTAGAAATGTGGATGCCGAGGTCTCGAAATGTGCAACACCCTTCACGACGAAAAATGCGGGATTAAGATCCATCGTTAAACTCAGGGGGCTGTTGTACTGCACACTACGATGATACCGATGGAAGCTGATTCTGAATAATGAATGATAACATGGTTTTAACTAGTGGAAAATAAAATAAGATCATCTCACTTAACTCACTCAAAAGACGGGAAATTGGCAATCGATATTTATTCTTTTAAGAAACCATTTGTAATCCCCTGTCTTTAGTGATGTAACCGAAGAGGGCCTAAGTTTATACTAGGTTATACCCATTTCCCTAATCACATGAATTTGTGATATACCACTTTAACGTGTATGATTTAAAATGCAATAGTATTCATATTGAGCACCGTAGTCAAGTCAGTTTTATAGCAGGTTGTATGTACTGTATGTACCTGCTTTGCAGCGGTTCTTAGTTTAATATTCCTATGTACTTTCATCGAAATTACTTAACTGTTATTTAAAATTTTCAAAATTTTCAATTACTGATTAACTGAAGTAAATAAGTTTTTGAATTTGTTGAACACGCCACCTTAATTTAAAAATTGAATGGATGGTAAATAGTTTTATTTAAATTCGATGCCTTGTTGGTTGCCAAAGACTATAAATTAGTACAATTTCTGATCCATGATTAGAATATTCGTGAATAGCAGTGTCTCTAGTTATGTCCACGTTAAAGTCAGATTTTTGAACGTTTGGAAGGCGTGGTTCTTTCTAGTAAGATTTTCTGAGTTCCATATCCTTCCTTCGAGTTTGTTTTTGGTCCACTGTTTCTTGCCATCAGCTACGTTGGTCCAGTCGTTACTGTTGATCTGCATTAGACGCATTGCATCATCTTAAAACTTAGCATCTTGCTGATCTGTAAAATTGATTGAGAAGGCCTGACTGGTTGGCCAAAGTTTTAGAAATGATAGTCGTCCCGCAGGATGGAGGGGGAGGCAGTTGCAGCTTAAGCATAGGCACTCACTGTTTACGAAGTTCTGAAAGGCTCGCACTTATCTCCTGCAACCAGGAGTACTTTCAACGAAATTTCTACCAGAACTGAATTTTCCTACACCTAGTTCCGCCTTTTTTAAATTTGGTTCTTATAGACGCAAACATACAGAGGAGGATTTCCTGCTTATTTTAAGAAATTTTTACAAGCGGTCAGCTCTTCCATTGCCTGGCTTAAACCCGGAGTGGAAGGGAGGAGTTGAATGAGATTAATTAGCTGACTGACGAAATTTATTGACTTTCTTGAATTTGTAATATTTCCCACAGAAACAGCGACACATGATTGGACCATGATGGTGCCACCAATCGTCCAATCTGAAACAGCAGAGAATCAATTGTTAAATTGTTGCTCTTTAGCTTACTGTAAATTCGTTCAGTAATTCCGCTAAGCTTGAACAGATTTTGCGGAATAAGGATATTTTATGAAAGTTTTCGACTTTGTAAAGTTGTTCTATATTGTTTTTTTTAGATTGACTATTTTGGACTTCTCTGTACTATATGCTTTCTGATTGAGAAAAAGTATATGACGACATTCAAGTATGAGAAACGCTGGAAATGTACAACCTCGATCCCGAAAACATGGAATTTGACCATTTGGCATCGTCTTTTCGACTCGCTGTTAAACATTCAGAGCTGTGATGAATTGCCAGACCTAAACATCTTCATTGAGGAGTTGTCAAAGTATTTGAGCAAGTTGATCACTTATGAATACAGTACATGGGAATCAGAGCTGCTGAAGATGTACGAAATTCTTCGTTGACTCGTCATGACAAAACGAACCGCTCAATGGCCATGTTATTTGCTAGTCTCTCCATGTTTGGGTTGTATTTAATCGTATGTAAGCTCTGGTCGATGCCGTTCATATGATGCAAAAGGTGCAACCTCTGCACAGTGTAGTTAGAGGGCTGTGAAATTTAGATTTGAGCCCTTTACAGTATCGTAGTTTTTTTGTAAAAAAATGTTCCATAAGCATTAATTTATAGCGAAAATAAATGTCCTTGTATGAAGTATCTTGAAACGTTGTTTCGATACAGTCTCGTATTTGTTAATTTGTGCCATATCGTTTGCGACCACTTCATGACTGGGCAGAATTCGATCGTACGGCATGAATCGGTTCGCAAGTCAACTGAAGTTACGTCATCACCATGCCACGATATAACTTATTCTTTCACCACTGCCCGTATTCCAGAGCCGGATAGGACTCGAATGTAGCAAGACTGTATAATGCAATTATCAAAGCCATTTTTTATTTTGTCTTTTGTTTCCCGCGTTGTAACTGGAGCAAAAGCAACTAGATTAAATTTTCTTTACTTTATCGATTGAACTTTAAGATAACAGCTAATGGCTTGCAAGCCGATTGGCTGATATCTGCTCATGACCAGAAAAAACCAACTCGCCTTGGAACCTGATTGGTCTGTGTCCATGCCTCCAGTTCTATATAGATGGTTCCCGAGTTGCGATCATTTCGATTTAAGAATTTTCTATTTTACGATACCGGTTGCGATACAACAGAGTTCGAAAAAATTCTGATTTCACAAGAAGAACAACTCAGCGTAAGCGTATGCCGTAAGTTACTTTGGGTACGCTTGGGAGGCTGCTGTTGGCAGTATCAGATCACTTAACGCGTGCGTGGCCTGCCTCAGTCTCCCGCGATCTAATCCTTAGTGATTCAGAAAATAATTACCTTTTGTGTTATTTTGTGCTTAAAAATTGTTTTTTCTATAGGAATGGCCCCCAAACGTGCTAATGTTTCTTCTGTTGGTAGTGAGAAAAACAAGAGGAAAGCTATTACCTTGGAAGATAAAATGAAAATCATAAACCAGTCATGACCATAGCACGTGATTTTCAGTTATCCCAGTCAACGGCATCAACGATGTGCTCTTGTTCATTCACCCTTCTATAGTTTATTTTTATTTCCAGCATACACCTTTACACTCAGTGTTGTTTAGTCCGCAGTTTATGAATAGCTTTCAGGCTTAGATGTTACATTTCGCGCCCATGGGTTAGCACTGGGAGAAGAGAGTGAAAGAAAGCTCCGTGTCAAGCATAGGGACAAATTTCTGGATAGGAACACTATAAGTCTTCCAAAAATTCTCCATACCAGTTTTAATCTTCGGGTAATTTTCTCTAATGGGATCTTGGTTGCAGAGATTAGCTGTCCCAGATAGACGTAGGGTTGCACT